AAGGTCAGATTCCTTGGGGATTCCCGGTCCCTTTGTCAGATTCCCAGCCTGGGAAGACTGACATGGGGCTCAGAACCTTTGCAACAGTGGGAAGACTTCTTTGGTATTATTGTTCTCCAGTTTGTGGGTCACCCACCTGGCAGGTATGGAATTTGATTTTATCACGATTGTACCCATCCTACTGTCTCACTGAGGTTTCTTCTTTGTCTTTAGATGAGGGACATCTTTTTTTGGTGTATTCCAAACCAGGTGGTCTGGTATTCCCATCTTTTTAAGAATTTTTCACAGTTTGCTATGATCCACACAAAAGCTTTAGCATAGTCAATGAAGCAGATGTTTTTCTGGAATTCTCTTTCTTTTTCTATGACCCAGTGGATGTTGGCAGTTTGATCTCTAGTTCCTCTGCCTTTTCTAAACCCAGTTTATACATCTGGAAGTTCTCAACTCAGGTACTATTGAAGCCTAGCTTGAAGAATTTTGAGCATTATTTTGATAGCATGTGAAATGAGCACAATTGTGTGCTGGTTTGAACATTCTTTGGCATTGCCTTTCTTTGGAATTGGAATGAAAACTGACCCTTTCCAGTCCTGTGGCCACTGCTGAGTTTTCCAAATTTGCTGGCATATTGAGTGCAGCACTTAAACAGCATCATCTTTTCAGATTTGAAATAGGTAAGTTGGAATTCCATCACCTCCTCTAGCTTTATTTATAGTAATGCTTCCTAGGGCCCACTTGACTTTGGACTCCAGGATGTCTGGCTCTAGGTGAGTGACCACACCATCATGGTTTTCTGGGTCATTAAGATCTTTTTTGTACAATTCTTCTGTGTATTCTTGCCACCTCTTCTTAATCTCTTCTGCTTCTGTTAGGTTCTTATCATTTCCGTCCTTTATTGTGCCCATCTTTCCATGAAGTATTCCCTTGTTATCTCTCATTTTCTTGAAGATACCACTAGTCTTTCCCATTCTATTGTTTTCCTATATATATATATATATATATTTTTTTTTTTTTTTTTTTGCATTTTACATTTAAGAAGCCTTTCTTATCTCTCCTTGCTATTTGAAACTCTGCAAGCAATTGGGTATATCTTTCCCTTTCTCCTTTGCCTTTTTCTCTATTTACTATACCTTGGATATATCAGTAAGTATATATCTAAGTAAACAATTTTTAATGGTAGCATAGTTTCCCATTAAATGGCTATTATATATTTTATGTAACTGATTTTCTATTTATAATGCAATTATTAATATCACTGTGATGATACTTTTATACATACATCCCTGTACACTTATTTTTTTAGGGTAAAGTCCTAGAAATCAAATTGGTAGATACAGTTGATTCTTGAACAACATAGGTTTGAACTGCATGGGTACGCTTACATGAAGATTTCTTTTTAATAAATCCTGCAGTACCACATGATCTGATTGATTGACTGTGAAGATTAGAACTGTGGTTATGGAGATCTAACTATGAATTATACATAGATTTTTTACCGTACCATGAATCAGTCCCCCAAGCCCTGTGTTGTCCACGGGAGGGTCAACTGTATTCTTAAGGCTTTTGATAATTTTCAAATTGTCCTCAGAAAAGTCCCAGGTTGTATTTCCACAATTTCACTATTTGTACGATAGAAATGATTGATTTTCTTTACAAACGTGTCAACAGTGACGTCTTTCGTGGTTTTAATTTGAACTTTTTAGGTTACTTATATTTTCATTTGTTAGTATTGCTCATAGTTACCTTGTGTATTGCCTAATAATATCCTTTTCTTGTCTTTTTCTCACTGAATTCTAGCTTCTTATATGCAATAGGTATTAACTCTTTCTTTGTCATTTGTTGAAAATTTTATTATTTGTAACTTTTTTTTAATCAAAATTTAGAATCTTTGTGTTACTAGAATTTTTAAGCTTTTTGTTTGTTTCTGAAATTCATTGTTTAAGCAATGTCTTTTTCCAGAACTTTCACGAGATTTTTTCTTACTCATAAATAAAAATGATTGCTTATTTTTCTCCTGGGTAAGTGTCACATGTTTCTCATTGACTGGGAAACACCATCTTTATGATGTAATTGTTTAAATATATATATATATATACACACACATATATTTATACATATATATATGTATATATATTTACACACCAGCTTGCGTTTTTGTGTGAAACTGTATATTTGTGTCTGTTCTAATATATTCTATATAATTCTGTTAATCTATTTGTTTTGTCACCAGTATCACTTAACTTACATTAGCTTTACAATATCTTTGATGCTGTGGAAGAACAATTTCTTTTTTAGAATTTTCCTGATTCTTTTTATTTGTTTGTTTTCCAAAAAGAATTTGAGATCATTTTATCAAGATCCAACAAAAGTATTGAATTTTAATTAAGATTATACTCATTTTATTTGGGGAGAACTGATATGTTTATAACTGTGAATCTTCACATTCACGAATACAGTGTATCTTTCATTTATTTATACTTTCTTTTATGTTCATCAGTATAGGCTTTTTCATATAGGTCCCAGATACTTCTTGTTAAGTTTACTTGTGGTTTTATTTATTTTGTTTTTGCTGTTATAAATGGGATCTTTTCCTGTTTTTTTCTACTTCTTGTTGGTAAATAGAAAAAAAATACTAGTTTTTGGTATTTATTTTGTTACTAGCCTTTTTAGTGAACTCTTTATTATTTCTAACAGTGTCTTGAATTTACTAAGTATACAATAATCCTATTTGCTTGAAGAAATGAAAAAGAAAGAGAACTGTGTGCCGGGTTTTTGAATCATTCTATCTCTTGTTCCTTTTCTTGATATATTGCATTAACAAAAACTTCCAGAACAGACCTACATAGCAGTGGTCTTATCAGGCATCCTTACAATCCTTAGTGAAAAGAGGAGAGATGAGCCAAGACTTGACTGAAGTGAAGGAATGAACCATGAGGAATCTGGAGAAAGAGGTTTCTAGGCAGAGAATAGCCAGTGCAAAGGCCTTGAGGAGAGAGTGTGGCTGGATGTTTGGGGAATAACAAGCAGACCAGTGTGTCTAGAGAGGAGTGATTGAGAAGAGACTGGTAGAAGAAAAGATCGTAGAGGGAATAAGGGAGTGTAATCGATGCTGAAGCTGAAACTCTTTGGCCACCTCATGTGAAGAGTTGACTCATTAGAAAAGACCCTGATGCTGGGAGGGGTTGGGGGCAGGAGGAGAAGGGGACGACAGAGGATGAGATGGCTGGATGGCCTCACCGACTCGATGGACATGAGTGTGCGTAAACTCCGGGAGTTGGTGATGGACAGGGAGGCCTGGCGTGCTGAGATTCATGGGGTCGCAAAGAGTTGGACATGACTGAGTGACTGAACTGAACTGAACTGAACCTTTTTTCAGTGAGTTCTCATAGACCTAGTATTTGGTAATTTTTCTGTCTCTTATATTTGTACACTTTCAACTTATACTGTTGTCAGAGACTGAAGTCCTGTTTTAGTTCTAAAAGTTTCTTTATATTACTGTGAAATAGTTCTAGTATTTCCATAATAGGACCATGATTTAGAAGCAGTAAAGTCAGAAGAACTGAATTTTAGTCCTGGGTTTTCCCCTAATTAATTATATAACCTTTGTTAAGGTATTAACTTCTTTGGAACTCATTTTACTCTCATTTATATAATATATATTAAATAGCTTAGAAGTATTTTCTTATTTGAAATAAATGTGATGGAATTCATGATCATAGCTTTGCTCACCATTGTTACCAGTTTGTATATGATTTTATAGATCAAAACATGTTTTCTAATTTCTGTCTTCTCAGACAGTAAAATATTAACTGCCCCATTCTCCCCTCCCCCAATTTTGAGAGTATTTCTGAATCCCTTTGGTCATGTAAGTTGTACCTTTCTAATCTTTCTTTATTGATGATAGAGTTGATGAAATCAGTACTAAGTGCTGAAGGTATTGGCAGATGTGCTGTGATATTATATAAATGTAAAATCATATTTTCTGTTTTATTTCAGCTGTTTTTTTTTAATGCCAGTATTTGTAGGGCTTTTTAGCCATATCATTTCAAAATGTCTTTTAGGCCAACCCTTTGGGTCTGGACCAGACTATTCCTAGCTCTTTACTATTCAATATCTTCTGGGACAGAGATTTCACAACCTGTCTCTCACCTTGAAGAAGCTCTTACAGCTAACATAAATCTTGCTTTCTGCAATTTAAGTTTGGATTTATTTCTTTTTTCTTTTCTCTGTGGAGATGGGAACAGCCCCAAACTTGAAGTGATGCTTTCTTATGAGGGCCAGTACTGAATGTAGTGGAAGGATTATTTCCAGTCTGGCATCATTTTTAGCTTTTACATATTAAAGCTTCCTGACTTTCATTTCAATATTCATGGTCTCAAGAGATGCTATTCTTTATAGCCCAAATGAAATAACAGTTACATATCTAATATTAATGTTTATTATATCTTTTGCTAGTTAGAACCAAATGAGGTACTAAAATAAAAAATGAGTTCTCAAAACCCATATGAGAACTTTAACAGATTTGTGTTTTATTGGGTATAACTATAGTCATGGGAGTGGATTTTTGCCTGTGGTTTCTAGATTTGATCTCATTATTTTATTAGTCATATTGTATACATGATTTCTTTATCCATATTTTCTAGTGATAAGACTAAAAACTTGTTCTTTAAAACAAGCTGTCTTAAAGCAAATTTCAGTGTGTGTCATAGCTTAGTAGCTTAGTGCCTAAGCTACCAAATGTACTAGATATCAGGAAAAATGCATTCTCTGCCCTTGATGCACCCATAGTTTTATTAGGGGAAGAGATTATAAGAATTTTAAAGCACTTATGAAATAATTTAAGGTAGAGCATATAAAGTAAGATGTTTAATGTGAATTTTATTTTGCATCTTAAAGGTTGATATAAAAAATTTCATGATATACAGATCTCTTCTATTAACTAAGATACCCTGAAATGTCTAATTGTTTCATTCTGATTCCCCCCTTTTTTTTTTGCTTTAAAGGTTCAGCAGTTTTCTGAAAAAGCCTTCTTCTTACAGCTTTTGAAAACGCATGAAAATGCCTTAGAAAGACAGTGCAATGAAATTACAAACCAAAGGAATATGCTTCTCCAAACCTTTGTACGTCTCCATCCACTTGGAAAAGTTTATTTTACTAATTGTATCAAAAATTTGTATAAAAATATGCTTAGATATACATTTAGAAAAATTATCCATATGCATATTGGCAGGTAGTCCTGTTGAGATATGAAAAATTATTAAGTGCTATTTTAAACCAATTGGTAGAGCAATATAGTTTGAAAGAATTAAATTGTCAGAATGCAGTATAGAAATTATTTGCAATTGTACTAAGCATAAAAGAAACATTGAAACTGAGTTGAATTGCTCAGGCTTCAAGGTCTTGGTTTTAATGTTTTTGAAAGGCACAGAGGTTCAAACTTGCAGCAAATTAATGGATGTGGGAGCAAAGATAGATTTTGTTTATTTTTTTTAATCATAAATCACAGCAAACAGACTCAGTAGCTTTAAATGACAAGAACAGCTTAAGAATATAATCTGTAACTAATTGACTTTTCAAAAAAATACATTTTAAACTTAAAAATGTATATCCAGAGTCAGAGTCAACAGAATCAACCACCAAATGGTTATGAATGGCATGGCAAGTTTCCAGCTGTAGCTCTTAATTAGTTCTGTTTCTTGGAAAAAAATTGGAAAACACAGTAATGTTTAGGTTCTACCATTGTCAAAAACTTTAGGTTCTAGGATTGTTTAAAGTTTCTGGAAATTCTTATTTCTACTTCATGTTGATATTTTATGAAATTTAAACTGTTATTTAGAACTATATTTGAAATGACCATGTAATTTTACCTTGTCTACATTTTAAAAGATTTTCTTGGAATTTGCAATCAAAGGACAGTAATTCCTTTGAGTGTAGACTTGCATTTTCAACTTTGGTCATTTAATTCTTTTCCATCCAGTTGCAATGTAATTCCTTTGAGTATAGATTTTCATTTTCAACTTTGATCATTTAGTTATTGTACCACCAATTTTGCAATGACAAAATGGCATATATGGCTCTAAGTTTAATACACAGACACATACATAATGATGGGTGGTAAAATTTCTACCTAAATAATTCTCTTAAAATATTAAGGATAAATCTTTCACATGAAAATAGTTGGTTGTTATCATGTAATAACCTCAATTTTTAAATTAATATTGCTGGAGGAATATAGCATTTTAGTACCAGGGATATAATTTTCTGTTTCGTTCCCAGTATTTCCAAATGATTGAATTTTAATCATTAAAGAAGAATATTGTTGCAGTTAACACCTATATTTGGTCCTTTGTTTCTATTTTTCAGGAGGCTACAAAGAGAAGAGTTACAGAGGAGGAAGAAAAATTTATTAAGGAAATTACAGACTTCAATAATGAATATGAATTAACAAAGAAACGAGAGCTCTTGATGAAACAAAATGTCAAGATTCAAATATCTGACTTAGAAAACCAGGCAAACATTCTTAAAATGGGTATGAAAACATAGTACCACCTCATTTATCTGGCATTAATGAAGATAACTTATTTTGAATTAGTGAATTTTCCAGAAATTTTACATTTTCATAAGTAAATTGGGTTATTGCATTGCTGTTCTTTTGCTTTTATCTTAATTATATATCTCTTTTACTGTGAGCTGTCTCAGGTTCTTTAGAAGTAGGTTTGACATGATCATTGGTCATTTATTTAATAACCAAATTCTGTTTACTATCTGTTATATATTAGGCACCCTCCTAGGTCCTGGAGGTATAATTAAAATGTGGGGGGATGAAATATATAGGCAGATATTTATAGTACATTGTGATAGAAACTATATATGTGATATTGTTGCTGTGATCTTTATTTTACCATCAACACAGTTTAAACTAGGAAACACTGTTACACAGTGGGGAGGGGAGAATTCCATTTCAGAAACACTAGTATGCAGGTAATTGCAGTCTGTAATAAGATCCTGAACTAAAGAAATTATCAAAGAGAGGCTCAGTGGTGAAGAATCCGTCTGTCAGTGCGAGAGACATGGGTTTGATCCCTGGTCAGGGAAAATCCCATATGCGGCAGAGCAGCTAAGCCTTTGTTCTGCAACTGTTGAGCCCATGTGCCTCCCCTACTGAAGCCCACACGACCTGGAGCTTGTACTGCGCAGGAAGAGAAGCCACCACAATGAGAAACCTGCCCAGCTAAGAGTAACACCCTCTCACTGCAACTAGAGAAAACCCTGCACAATGATGAGACCCAGTACAGCCATAAATAAGTGAAATTATTAAAGAAAAAACTAGAAGTTACCAAGAGAGGAGAAGACAAAGAGATTTTTAGGAAGAATGACAGATGTATCACTGACTAAACAGATATAACAAAAGTCAAGCATGAACCACAGTTTTCAAACTTAAGAGATTGGGTAGAATATGGTACCAGGAGGAAGAGCAGAGATGGAGGTGAACTATAGCCTTTTCTGGACAAAAACCTAAGTTTTGTTTCGATGTTTTTAGTTGGAGATGTCTATGGGATAAACAGGTAGAAATGCCCAAGTAGCAGGTTAAAATTTGGTTTTGAAACTGATAGAAGAGATCATGCTAGAACATTAGTTGTGGGATTCCAGATAAGTTGCTAACATAATTCAAAGGGAATATGTAGAGGGAACATAAAGGGGTAGCAAAGACCAAAGGCAGAAAAAGGAAAAGCACAGCATTTAAAGAAAGAAAGAGAATAATGAGACAGATGTCAAAGAGGGCAAGAGGAGAACCAGCAGAGAGCAGTATGTGATTTGGGACAAGATGCTTGAGTTTTATTTGCTTCAGTTTCTTCATCTATGAAGATGGAGGGTAATGATGATGACCTTAACAGGATTGTTGTAATTACTCATGAAATAATATTTAATTACATAGAATGCTACCTGGATCATAATTAAGCCCTTGAAACATAGGCATTATACTTTTTAATTAGTTTAATTTCATAGATGAAGAAAATGAGGCTCTCAGAGATAAGTTGCTTTGGGTAGAGAGTATAGGACAGAAGTTCTTAAGGCATACATATAAGCATACATCTTATAGGCATACATCTGGGAAGTTCTAATATATATATATAATGATCAGAAAGGAGCACAATACAAAAAACTAGAACTAGAGAAAATGTATTAAAAACTATTTTTAGGTATTGAGGACAAGAGATTGTCCAAGACTATGATTCCTAAGTGAAGGAAAACACATGAAGCATGATTGCCCTAAGCTTTTACCTGGTTGCAGTTTTTTGACAACAGGCGAGAGAGAGGGAACTTAAACAAAACACAGTGGCCTGATTGAGTCGAGGATACAAAGACTGGGGTTCAGGGAGGCTGAGTTAGCTGAAATTTTCAGAACAACCTACTAAGAGGAAAGAACTGCACAGACAAAACCTCCAGAAATCTACATAGAGGTTGCTTTGAGTCTTTGGCTATATATTATTCTTTGCCTACATAGGGGAAAATCCTCTAGACTGAATAAAGAAAAACTGCTGGGGAATCATAAGCTCAACAATTCTGTGAGCTCACACAGGACTGAGAGACATTCATATTCCATCCTTTCAGAATAGAAAGAGCTCATTAAATAGAAGAATCCTGCCTTAATAGTTGGATTCAATTAGCCTTTGACCTAAGGCTATTCTGGACGCATTCTAAATCTTAAAACAAGGTTTGAACCTAATTATGTTACCTAACTGCATGCTAAATAGCGGGTATCAACATGCTTGAGGGGAAGAGAGCAAAATTCAAACATCAACAAAATAGTAAGCAAAATGTCTAGTATCCAACCAAAAATCACTATATCTATGAAAAAGGAATTGTATCTCATGCCAAAAAGGAAATTAGGTCAACAGAAACATCTCCAGAAATCATAGAGATAATGAAATTCACAGAGAAAGACTTTTAAAATTGATATTATAAAAATATTCAAGACCATGAATATAATAGAGAGAAATAAAAGATATAAAATAATAAAAAATTCAAAAAACTATTTGGCAAGATCCAACATCCTTTCATGATAAACACAGTCAATAAACTAGACATAAAAGGGACCATTCTCAATCTGATGAAGAGTATCTATGGAAAACCCTGGTGAAGGTTATTTATGATGGAAGAATGAGAATTTCTCATCTAAAATCAGGAAAAGATGAAGATATTCATCCACTCCTAATACTTGTATTCAGCATTTTACTAGAGACTTTAGCCTGGGCAGTCAGGCAAGAAAAAAATACAAGACATCTAGATTGGAAATGAAGTAGTAAAACTATCTCTATTTGAACATAGCATGATCTTGTGTTTAGAAATCCTAAGGAATCCATAGGAAAACTATTTGAGCTAATAAGTTCAGCAAGGTGGCAGGTTATTAGATCAATATACACAAGCCAAATGGACAGTTTGTAAATTAACATTCAATTTGCAATCAAAAAAGAGTAAAACACATTTAACAACAGTTTAAGACTTGTATACAAAAACTACAAAAAACATTGTTGAAAGAAATTAAAGAAGACCTAAATAAAGGGAAAGTCATCCCAAGCTGATGGATTGGAAGATCTAATATTGTTAAGCAGTACTCCCAAAAGTATATTGACCATACATTGCTTCCATTTTTACTACACAAGAAAAAGTTAATCATTCTTGACAGACATTAGGCAAAGCCAAAACAGTTAAAATATGTTTTTTTGGTTTTTTTACATATTTATTTCTAGAAATGAAATCAATGGAACATGATAGTGACCTGTTAAATGAACTTCAAAAACAAAAGAGTGAATTAATACAAGAATTATTTACTTTGCAGAGGAAGCTTAAAGGTATTACATATATGAGTTACTTTGCTGATGAATATAGTTATATACCTATCATTTGTTGTTCAGTTGCTAAGTTGTTGTGTCCAACTCTTTGTGACCCGTTGGACTGTAGCACACTAGGCCCTCCTATCCTTCACCATCTCTTGGAGTCCGCTAAATTCATGTTCATTGAGCCAGTGATGCTATCCGTTTATCTCATCCTCTGCTGCCTGCTTCTCCTTTTGCCTTCAGTCTTTCCCAGCATCAGGGTCTTTTCCAGTGAGTCAGTTCATATCAGGTGGCCAAAGTATTGAAGTTTCATCTTCAGCATCAGTCATTCCAGTGAATAATCAGGGTTGATTTCTTTTAGGATTGACTGGTTTGATCTCTTTGCAGTCCAAGGGGCTCAAAAGAGTCTTCTCTGTTATAGGTTAATATTATTCTTTCAAAATGTATTTACTCATTGGGATATAGGTGATGTAAAAAGGGAATTTTATTGATGTGAAAAAGAAATAGGTAAAGCACTAAATTGACTAAGTGTTGAATCTGGTTATTTTTAATTTCATAAATTTTAAGATCTTTCTTTGTGTCTTTAATTGCTACATTTAAGTAGAAAAATAAAAATCATTCATACATGTATTTTACATGAAACACCAAAATTTAGAGCATTGTTTTTATGAATGAAGAAAGATAACCTTTATATTTAATTTTTTAAAGAATATAAGAATTTTCTTAATTGTTTAGGTTTTGAAGATAAAAAAAATGGAGCCATTTGTACTACTAAATACCTAGAGGCAGAAAAAATAAAAATCAGTGAAAAACCTCAAAATGATGCTGAATGCTTAAGGTAAGAATTGCCTATTATACTTTGATATAAAGTCTGGTAATTTTTCAAGTTGTTAAGTAGATTTCAGCATAAAGCCAAATGTATAATTATTTCAAGATCATTTAAGATGTTATTTCCTTCTATGTGTATTCTGAAATATGTTAATAAGCAAATGCTTTACTGGCTAAAAACACATAAGTTTTAAATTGTATCAGGTTGATAATATTGAAATCAGTCTTATCTTTTCCTATTCCTCAAGAACTCTTGAGTTATTCACATACTAAAAGATAAAATGTAGAATCATTTCCACAACTCTTTTTTCTATTATCCCTAAGTTTTTGGAGTGAAATGACTGAAGTTACCTTTTATGGTCCTTCTAGATTTCAGGGGAAGAAATCACAGTCTACTACGTAACTTGAAGTCTGTCCTTCTGGTTTTGTGCCTAAAGACTGAAAATACATTTTCTCTATGGAATATTTAGATGTTTTCTGTGTATTTGGATAATGAAAGAATGGCTGAGGTCTGAAATGACCAAAGGGGAACATCTCCCCCAGTTTATTAATTTCATTGTTATTTATTAATAATTCAGTGTTAACATTTGCTGGCTTAATTTTAAAGAGCTTCCTATACTTTCTACGTTTCATGTAAGAAACAGAAACCTCATTACTGAATCTATGAAGAGGCATATGAAGTCTTTCACATAAATCATACAGGAAATATGTCCACTAGAGCTGAACAAATGCTTCATATTAGCAGTGTATTGCCTTAGGCCATCATTTTAGTAGATTGTGAGAAAATATTTGCAATTTAATTTTATGTTAAGTTTTATAAGCGTGAAATATCAATCTCTTGGGTGATATGTTTGATACAGAATGAGTTTCTGTAATGACAGTCTGCTCATTGATTTTTTTTTACACTTTTAAAAATGTTCATGCCCACTGGTATCACCATAGTTCATAGTGTAAAGGCTTCCAGTATGAACTCCAGTTTTGTGGGTTTATCCCTCAGTCATAAAAGTTTTCCCTGGGTTAAAATTAAACACTCAAAGTTTGTTAAGAGGGCCTTTTCCTTCAGAGATGGTGACAGAGGAAATTTGTATAGAAAGAGACATCAGTTAATATGCCTAGTCCAAACTTTGCATTTTAGCAGTTACTGAATGAAATGCCAGTATTTATCATTTCCCACTTTAAATTCTTTAAAATGTGTAGCTTAGTTTCCCTTCTGTTATGTTCCATAAAAATGATTTCAAGTGTGAAGAGCAGAGTCAAAGTACTAAGTATAGAGATTTTGAAAAAGAGCGCCATCAGTCTTATAAATAGTGAAATAACAAGGAGCTAATAATGGTAGCAAGAAATGATATGACATTTATTGAACATCACTAAGACCAAAATTAAGTTGATTTTACCCCTAAATTTTATAATAGAATCTTTTTCATTTCTGTGTTCAAATGTGTACTGAATTCTATAGTAATGACCTTCATCTTAAATTTTCCGATTTAACTACTGTTGGTATAGATTCTGTTTTGATAGCAGGCTTTCTCAGACTTGGCACTGTGGAGATTTGGGGCCAGGATCTATAGTAATGACCTTCATCTTAAATTTTCCGATTTAACTACTGTTGGTATAGATTCTGTTTTGATAGCAGGCTTTCTCAGACTTGGCACTGTGGAGATTTGGGGCCAGGATATTGTGTGTGGGAGAGCTGTCCCATGCAGTGTAAGATGTCTATTAGCTTTCCTGGTCTCTACCAATGAGATACCAGCAGCACTACCCACCCCCCGTTGTTACAAACCACAGACGTCTCCATTATTACCGTGTGTCCCCCGGGCAGAGGCAGGTGGGCACATAAAGTTAAAATTTTTTAAAGTTAATCTGCCATGTTCAGGTTGTTTGTTGGACTCAATGCCATCTGTTAATGAAGAGAAGCAGTACTTTATATTCACAGTATTTTAATGATCTCTGCTTTAGTTAATCTTTCCCTGGGTTTATAAATTATAAGATATTTGTTTATTTAAAATATTCTGTTGTGAAGAGAATGGGATCATTAATTAACACATGTTAAGGCAACTAATTTACAGAATATTGCCATGATTAACACCTAAACCAGAGGTTGGATTAATTTCTAAGAAGCATCCCTGAGAACTTTATAACTGATCAAGCTAGTGTTTTTCACATAGTCTGGGAAGGACAGAAGTGATAAACCTCACTTGTCTTGAGGTTATTAAAGGTTATTAAACCTTATTGTCTTGAGAGGCAATAAGCATAGAGATTAAGGTTACAAACACTTTGAATCCCAGCTTTGCTATTTACTAGGTTGGTGACCCCAGACAAGCAATTCAACATGTCTGTGACTCATTCTCTACATCTATCAAATGAAGTTAATAATGGCAGCCACCTCACAAGATTATAATAAAAATTAAATGACTTAATATATGTGTGTGTATATGTATATGTGTATGTGTGTGTGTATATATATATATATATATATATATATATATAAAGCCCTTAAAGCAGTGCTTCAGTTCAGTTCAGTTCAGTCGCTCAGTCATATCCAACTCTTTGTGACCCCATGAATCTCAGCATGCCAGGCCTCCCTGCCCATCACCAACTCCCGGAGTTCACTCAAACTCAAGTCCATCGAGTTGGTGATGCCATCCAGCCATCTCATCCTCTGTCGTCCCCTTCTCTTCCTGCCCCCATTCCCTCCCAGCATCAGGGTCTTTTCAAATGAGTCAAGTCCTCTCATGAGGTGGCCAAAGTTTTGGAGTTTCAGCTTCAACATCAGTCCTTCCAATGAATACCCAGAACTGATCTCCTTTAGGATGAACTGGTTGGATCTCCTTGCGGTCCAAGGGACTCTCAAGAGTCTTCTCCAACACCACAGTTCAAAAGCATCAATTTTTCGGCACTCAGCTTTCTTCACAGTCCAACTCTTACATCCATACATGACCACTGGAAAAACCATAGCCTTGACTAGACGGACCTTTGTTGGCAAAGTAATGTCTCTGCTTTTTAATATGCTATCTAGATTGGTCATAACTTTCCTTCCAAGGAGTAAGCGTCTTTTAATTTCATGGCTGCAATCACCATCTGCAGTGATTTTGGAGCCCAAAAAAATAGTCTGACACTGTTTCCACTGTTTCCCCATCTATTTGCCATGAAGTGATGGGACCAGATGCCATGATCTTAGTTTTCTGAATGTTGAGCTTTAAGCCAACTTTTTAACTGTCCTCTTTCACTTTCATCAAGAGGCTTTTTAGTTCCTCTTCACTTTCTGCCATAAGGGTGGTGTCATCTGCTGAGGTTATTGATATTTCTCCCGGCAGTCTTGATTCCAGCTTGTGCTTCATCCAGCCCAGCATTTTTCATGATGTACTCTGCATATAAGTTAAATAAGCGAGGTGACAATATACAGCCTTGACGCACTCTTTTTCCTATTTGGAACCAGTCTGTTGTTCCATGTCCAGTTCTAACTGTTGCTTCCTGACCTGCATATAGTACACAGTAAATACTCTAAATTATTATACATAATTATAATTGTATAATTACTTATGATTTCATCTGTACTTCTTATTATCCTTATGGATTTTATGCCTTTCAAGCTTCTTTCTCATTTTTTTTCTGTCCTTTTAATGCAGAGACTTCCTGAAAGTTAGTTATTGATTGGATTCTTATTTTATACTCTCCATAGCTTGTCTCATCTGGTCTAAAGTTTTAGGTATCATCTATAGATAATTTTCAAATTTCTGTCACTAATCCCTCCTTCCTAAGATCCAGCTGAATTCTCAAAAATTTAATTATTGTTATTATTGTTCAGTTGCTATGTCATGTCTGACTCTTTGCAAACCCATGGACTGTAGCACGCCAGGTTCCTCTGTCGTCCACTGTATCCCAGAGTTTGCTCAAATTCATTCCATTGAGTTGGTGATGCCTTCCAACCATCTCATCCTGTGTTACCCTCTTCTCCTCCTGTCCTCCATCTTTCTTATCATCAGGGTCTTTTACATTGAGTTGACTCTTTACATCAAGTGGCCAAAGTATTGGAGCTTCCACTTCAACAACAGTTCTTCCAATCAATATTCAGGGTGGATTTCCTGTAGGAATGACTGGCTTGATCTCCTTGCAGTCCAAGAGACCTCAAGAGTCTTCTCCAATACCACAATTCAAAAGCAACAATTCTTTGGTGCTCAGCCTTTTTTATGGACCAACTTTCATGTCCGTGCATGACTACTGGAAAAACCATAGCTTTGACTGTATGGACCTTTGTCAGCAAAGTGCTGCTTTGCTTCTTAATATTGTGTCTAGGTTTGTCATAGCTTTCCTTCCAAGGAATAAAGTGTCTTTTAATTTCATGACTGCAGTTACTGTCCACAGTAATTTTTGAGTCTGAGAAAATAAAGTCTGTCACTGCTTCCACTTTTTTCCCTTCTATTTGCCACGACATGATGAGATTGGATTCCATGATCTTAGATTTTTGATGTTGAGTTTTAAGCCAGCTGTTTTACTCTTTTGTTTGACCTCTTTCAATAATGTAATATAATCAACCAAAAACAAAAGCATAACCTGTGTTACCTCCCTGCATTTCTGTCACTTACTCTATTCTGCTAACTCATCAGAATACTATTTGTGCATTTCCAAATATGCCAGAGGACTTCACACCTCTGTATATTTATTTTTCTTTTCCATTAGCTAAAATCTGATTTAGTCTTCAAGGCATAGCTCACATGGCATTTTTCCTAGGTATTGCTCAAACCCAGAATGTAAAACCAAGAAGGACCCTGTGGGGCTCCTGGGCACAGAAGTCTTTTTGTCCCCCTTTTCTTATAGGCAAGGCTCCAACCTCCATGGTCTTCCCTGAGTTCCAAAAGACAGGTTTGAACAGTTGCTGATCAAGAGAAGAGTAGCCAAGAAACCACCTGAGGCAAGATTAAAGGGACCAGAGAAGCTACTCAAGATTAGGAGACTCTAAATGAAAGTAAAAGAGTGCAAGCCCTGCATATACCCTAATTTTGTCAGCAAGCC